TTAGTTTGCCAACAAAACAAGATTGAATACAGAGAACTAAGACACCCCTTTATTTCCATTAGTTATCTAGCGACTAAGTAGCAGCAAAACTCCAAAATGACTACAAATGCCAGAATTAGCTGAATAATTTTGTCTCTCATAGATACATGTCTAAAAATTGGCTTTTTCCAAAAATGTCACCTTAGTGGAAAGATATTCTATTACTAAGTACTGCTTAGGCAAAGGTCTTTAATTAATTCTTTAAGGTCTTTAATTAATTCTTTAATTCGCTTTAAGTAATGAGTCATTAGGATTTTTCTCTCAAAGGATCCCATGACATTTTTTTCACTTTACGGTAAAATATGATTAGTATGTTACTTTAAGAAAGAAAGCTTTATCATCAAATATCTGATATAAATAAAGCTTTGACCACAACCAATAACATATAGGTAAAAAAAAAAAAAAACCTGATCCCTGCTCAAAAAGAGGAATTAAGTGTTTAAATTAAGACATCTTTTCCAAGGTTTGAGACTTCCACTCAGAGGTATGAATCTCAAATAGCATCAATTTCAAATGTTTCAAAAGTCTGGCAGCTTATTAATTACAATGGTAAACTAAGCATAAATTAAACAAATAACCGTTGACAAATCCAGCATACACACTTTAAAACCTATCCACATTGGAAATTTATACTTGAAAATGTTTCTTCTGGACTGGTATTATATCTAATGATTACTGTGTGGTCCATTAAAAATATATAAGCATAAGCACTTTTGAACTATTTTCATGCTAATTGAAACCATCACGGAGTATTTAGGTAAAATTACAATATTTATGTTAAAATAACATGAAATATTTGCATAACAAAAGCTTTAATATGTGTGACCCTCTTACCTTTGAATTCAAAATACACCAGCAAATGGAAATATACCATAGTATTAAAAGCAATTGTTTCTGGAGGGAAGGAATATGAAGTGTTTGTTTTCTTCCCTTTCTGCCTTTCAAATTTTATAATTAGCAGGATTAAGTTTATACTTAAGAGGGAAAACAAATTTTTAAACCCTTGGCAAATCCATTCTCATGATACAAAAAAGGGAGAGAGGAGGCAAGAACTATGGAAATAAATGGATTATATAGGTACCAGAGACTGAAGGGGTTCTGGGTATTTTTGTAGAAATAGCAATTTTTGTCCACACTACACTTCTTACACTCTTTTAAGAAAGCCATAGTAGCCAGGGCTGGTGGCTCATTCCTGTAATCCCAGCACTTTGGGAGGCTTAGGTGGGAGGATCACTTGAGACTAAGAGCTCAAGACCAGCCTGGCCAACATCGCAAGACCCCATCTTTACTCCTAAAAAATCTCAGTCAGATGTGGTGGCACACAATTGTAGTCCTAGCCTAGCTACTTGAGAGGCTGAGGCAGGAAGATCACTTGAACCCATGAGTTACAGTGAGCTATGATCATACCACTGCACTTTAGCCTAGACAACAGAGCAAGACCCTGTCTCTAAAAAGAAAAGAAAAAGGAAAAAAGAAAGCCATAGCCAGAGTATTCCCAGTGATAGGATATTAAGGAACCAGTAAGCCTCCCATGTGTGCTATAAATGGTACAGTACTCTGTGAACACACAATATATGTGAATTCTGAAAGAATGGGGGAAATTTATCAGTATCTTACTGAAAAGAAGTCTCACTGTTCTATTAAATGCCATTCAGCCCCCAAATAACAAATTTAAGACAGTAGATTCTCCTTATCTGTCATGTAATTCCTACTGAAATTTCCTTGTTGCTTCTGAAAAGATTCAGTCCAGAGAAATAAACTGCTTTTATAAAAAAATCATTGTCAAAGAAAAAATACTCCCCTCAAACAGGAAAAGAAACTTGGAAACTGAAAAAAATATATATTAGGCTGAAATAATTTCACAATTCAATCACTTCAGTTTCTAGTTCTCTGGTCCAGATCCCAGCAGAGATGCCCCAGCGCATATGGACTGCTCTAGAGGCTCACAGCAATGTTACTTTTAAAGCAAAGAAGGAAGGAATGAGCACCTGTTCTGGTACATTGCAGATGGCACTCAATAAATATTTAATGAATGAATAAAATCATAAGAATTCTTAAACATAAAATAAACACCCTCAACTGTTAGAGAAGAAGCCAGCTGTCAGGAAGTACCAGATAGAACTGTGCTGGTCTCCTCACATTGTTACCAATGGGATTCCATCCAGATAACCTTTATATTATAGAACAGATATTTTCTTGACTAGGATTGGCTTCCTAACTTATGTTATAATTTCACATACTTTCTAATTCTGACATACCCAATGTTAATGATTTTTCTACCAACCATTTACGTAATAAGCCATCTATTACCAAACTACTATCATGTTTCATAATACTACCTTAAGCTTTTCACATCTCTTATGTCAATCGCATGACCCAGGCTTGACGGGGAAGGTATTCTTAACTCTGTTTTACAGATGAGATGATGAAAGCAAAAAAAAAGGCTAAGTCAAAAGGCAAGGTTAAAAAAAAAAAAGGCAAGGTCACAAATAAGCTCCAGAGACAAGAGTAAAAAGCTAGGTTTTCTGACAACCAGTCTAGTCCTTTAATTTAGGAAAGTTACTGTTTAAAGGACACTTAAAATACAATCACTCCTGTCTATCCACTCTTCCAAGATTTGCTCACACAAAACAATTAGGTAGACTTTAAAGTTAACAGGAAATGACAGAACCAAAAATAACTGGGGTGCGGTATCACCTCTGAAAAAGCTCTCAAGCTGTGAATAAATGCAGACAAGACAGCATCAGACAAGGATTTAGCACTCAATACAATGGACCTTAGCTCTATATACAGTGACATCTTATTTCTATTTCAAACCCTAGAAAATCCTTTTAAAAAGCAACATAAGTCACCAAGAAGCCAAAACTGCTATAGCTAAGTCCTTATGCTAAAGTTTTCTAAATATGAAATAAATCCATACATTATAAGGGCCCCAAATCATTCATTTATGTTTCATTTGTCTAAGAGTAGTCTTAAAAGTACACAACACGCAGTGATTTGTAATTTTGCTAAAGAACAAATTCACATCATGCAGATTATGAGGGGTGGTGTTCACTTAACTATGAGCATGCCTAGCAATATACCAGCACCTGCATTTTAACCGTGTTCTATTTTACTTTACTATATTTTATTTTACTATATTTAAGGGCCAGGGAAAATTTTTACATTATATCTTTTTTTCTTTTTTAATTTTTAGTAGATTTAGGGGGTATAAGTTGAATTCCATTACATGTATATATAAAATTTTCCTTTATATCTTATGGTATGTTATGGTGGAAGTTACATGGTGCAATGGAGATCAGATTTTGAGGTTCCTGAAGGTCTGAGAGCTGCCACTAAGCCTCACTAAGATCCTATTTATTCTGACTTGACACACACTTCTGGTTTATCTGGTTTCCCTGCCTACTTCAGCTTAGAAGGGGCAGATTAGAAGGCAGTAAGGGCATATTCTGACAGAGAACAGTACTGGAAAGAGAAACGAAAAACAGACAAAACACTAAAATGGCATAGCAGTGAGGAATCATTTTAGTACAAGAGGAAACTGCCAACACCCTACACAGTGAAATGCACCAGCCATATTAACAGCACGGTACAGAAATTAATGTACATGATGACCTTGATTCATCGAAAAAGGTTATATTTAGTATATTTTGAATCTTAAGAGAGGGTTATATACTATGTATGGGTTATATTCTATGAAGACTTACATTTAAATAGTCAAAACAATTAGCTGTTAAAGGGATAATGTCAGTTATATGAACAATTCACTTATATCCCCAATGATACCACACAAATGCTCAGTAGATAAATCTCAAAAATCCCATTATATTCACTAAATATTATACAGTATAGATAATTAACATTTATGATACTGATGTTTTTAAGGGAGGAGAAAACCTAAGTTACACAGTAAATCTCTTCCCCCTCCCTGAACGTGCAATAAGCTTTTCACCCTTAAAAAAAAATTGACATCAATCTTAGTTTCCTTTCTCCTTCTGATAACAAAACGAAAAAAGAAAAGCATTTAGCAGTTTTCCCCACCCTAATGCTAACCCCTTCATCCACAAGCCACTCACACAGCTGGTCTAAGTATAGTCCCTTCTTATCAAATAGTGCTTTCAAACCGATTGTTGATACTCAGAATTTTGGAAAGAAGGGTTGCGCTTAGTCTTATGGCTGAACAAAAGCAGCACATAAATTAGTGGTTATGTTTAACCGGTCTTATTAGTTTAAGGGCAAAAACAACTGCCCTTAACCGAAAACCCTACAGGATTGAGAAAGGAGAACTTTAGTTTATGTTTTGTTCTTATAACAACAACAAAAATCTAATACGGCTAAACATCTGAATCAGAGAACATTATCCTCCAAGTCTCTGATAGCCAAAGGGAAAGTAAAAGGCCAACATATGTCAAGAAGTGTATAAATTCCTTTTTAAACATCAGATAACGAATTTATTTGTATTTATTAAACCATCCTCAGTGACCTGCGATGAAAAGTGGGCCAAAAGGGGCATGGTATATGTCCTGAAAAAGGGCGGGGGGTGTCAAGAAAGACCTGACTTCAAAGAGTCTACTAAGCTGCCCACACCACCCCAGATGGCTTCCCCAGATAAAAGACTAGAAAAGAGGAATCGTTTCTTAAAAGAAAAAAAAAAAAAGAGATGGGGATCCAGGCCCTTGGGGGTGGTGGGAGAATAAATCCCCCCTCCGCCTGGAAGTCAACACTTCGGGAGGGAACTTACCAATCTCCGGCAGGCCACCGGTCCAGCAGCAACAAAAAAGGCCGGGGTCCCCGTGGGCTGCTCCCACAGGGCTGCTCCCCCGGGCCAGGCCCGCCCTCGCCTCTCCCACACCCCTCCAGGTCCTCCTCCGGGGCCCCAGCCTCCCTCTGTCCCCGAGCCGTCGCCCCGCCGAGGGCCCTTTCCCGCAGGTCGCGGAGGAAGGCCGGGCCCGCTTTGGCACCTTTGATGACGCGTTCGGTAGTGGAGAGTTGGGAGCGCCCCTCGGACATGGTCCCCTCCGCCTCCGCCCGGCTCCAGAGGACTGCCGGCCGTGCGCCTCCGCCTCGGCCGCCGCCTTCTCCTCCAGCGCGCCCGGCCCCGGCTCCTCAGGGCTGCCGAAGCACCAGACGGACGCGTCCGCGGCAGCCCGGCCTCCAATCCTACCGACAGGATGCGGGCCCACCGGCCGCTCCCTCCCGACGCGCCAGCGGCTGCGGCGGGGAACGCCGCCTCCTGAGCGACCGCGACCGCAGCTGAGGGAGGCGAGCGGGGCGGCTGCGCGCGGCCCGCCCCTTGTGCGCGCACGCGCGCTCCCGCGCGCCGCTCTCGCAACTTCCCGGCGGCCCCGCGCGCGGTCCCTTGCCCTAGCCGGCCGGGCGGTCACCGGCCGGAGCTTTATCTTTTTCCGGCGTACGCGCGCCTCTTTCCTCTCCTCGGAGCCCGCTCCCTGGTTCCGACGGCCCATCGCTTCTCGTCAGCCGGTCCTCCCCGCAGCTGGCGCCTCCTCTCCTGCCTGCCCCTGCTGGGCCTGGAGCACCTAAAAGCAGCCCCTGCGCTCTGCGCGGGGGCGCCCGGCGAGGCAGCGGCCATCTTGAGCCCTGGCCGGGCGACCTCGCCCTGCACTGTACGGCCGGACCCTCCTGGACGCCCCCAGCCTGGGACCACCGCGCAGAGAGCCGCAGCCTCCTTCCTCCCTCTGGATCTGCCACCCACTTTAACTGTGGAGTCGTTATCAGTTCGACTCCGCTCCTACAGTTTATCCTCCCCCATTCACCAAACCCGAACAGTTAAACCCCTCGTTTGGTATCTTTCACAGTGTTGAGTGCTGTTAGTATAGTAAGGACATTCGTGTCCATCCTATTAAATAGTTCCAGTCCAGTAGTTGCGGAGGCTCAGTTTCTGAGCTAGGCGCCGCTGCCTCCTTCTTTCTACATCCAGAGAACGGAAGAGCTCCCGCTCCTGGGACCCTCAGGCCCAGACGCCCTTGGTGAAAGGAACTGACTTTCTCATAAGCCCTGCGTGTCACCTGCTCCCTCTCTTCCCCCTTGTTAAGGTACCAGCCTCCCCGGCCCAGGCTTACTGTGGACCACCACAGGCAAGCCTCTAGATAGAGTCCTGACAATCTGGTTCATCTCTTGCTTAAAAACTGACCTTTATCTCGCTTTAAAATTTAAGCCTACAATAGAAGCTGTCTCCCTACCACTGTCTTCTCTCACGGAGTATAGTACCTGGCAATGTAAAAGTAATCTGATTTTAGCAATCCTAATGGAATAATGAAACTGATACCCAAGGAAGCATATGCAAGTTATAGGCAAACCAGTCTAGGTTACTGCGGTGGCCAATGGGTAATCACATGTGGCTATGTCAATTTAATTTTAATTTTGATAATTCAGTTCCTCTGGTGCACTAGCCACATTGCCAGTGCTCAATGGCTATGTGTGGCTAGGGGCAACCTTACTGGACATCGTAAAATAGGCCATTTCCATCATCCAGAAAGTTCTGTTGGACAGCTCCTAGCTAAAAGATTACACGATTAAGCCTAAAACTCCATTAATATAGATGTATGTATTGGGAGGAAGTCTCAGGATATACACTGGAATCAGCCCTGAATTATCTCTTGGAGTTTTGACTGAAGGCCTTTCATAGTAACCCAGGAGACAGGAGCACTTCAGGGGCTGAATAGAATTTGGTTCTGTTTTCATGGGTTTGGACTTCAGGCTTCCACCCAAGAGAATTGTTCAGATATCCTGAGGAAGTTCTTCATTTAAGAAGTAACCAGAACTCCACACCTATCAAATCATATCTCTAAAGGTCAGATGCTAAAATTCTTCTTGAAGAATGTAAACAGGCTAGCTAAAAATAAACACAAAGTTTAAGAAAACGTGGCAAACCATTGTGAAGGGATGGATTATTCAATACTACTAGTGGAAAAACGAACTGACTACGGTATTTAAATCTCAAGTTGGAGCATCAAAATCAAAATGAACCTTGTTTAAAGAGTTCCATGTAGTTCAGTCTGTTCTCACAGTGAGCTCTGGAGCATGAGTCGTACCGCAAACTCATTCTCATCTTGAGGCAGAGTTGGCTGGACACTGGGGAGGGAGCTCCCATGCCACCTAAGGCAGTTCTCTGGTGAAGGGGCAGCAATGAGATGACAGCAACCAGCCCTTGTGCCCACACAGTGAAGGGGATCTGGGTGGAGCACCCCAGCATCTACTACAGGTAAGGGCTATAATTATCATCCCCATGTTACAAGAGAGGAAATCAAGGCCTGAGAAGCCGAAGGAACTTACCCATGCCCACAGTTGGAAATAATAGCATCAAGCCCTGTTGTCGCTGCTGTGGGTGTCACTGGTTGCTGGAAGTCACAGGCCTTTGCTCATAGCCCGCTGGGCCTCTCAGAAATTTAGGAGCATCAGGAGTTCTCCAGGTATGTGGAGATAAGGCAGATAGACACTAAGCCCTTATTTAAACAGAGGAGCACCAGGACTGTGATGGAAGGCAGAGCCGCTGAGTGACTCTCCTTGAAACGGGGTGAGGATGTGAAGGGAAGGGCTGCAGCTTGCTCACATTTACTGTGATGAAGCCAAGCTACAGGACATCTGGATTCTGTAAATTCAAGTACCCATGCTTGGGGACCCAACACGTCACAGTCTATGTGGTGCTGGAGAAAGGGCTCGGGCACAGCAGCTCTCCTGACTTTGGGCAGGTTACTTCACATCTCTGTGCCTCAGTTTCCTTATCTATAAAATGGAGATAATTGTAGTACTTACCGTATGGGGTTGTAGTAAGGACTGAATGGGTTAGTATTTGTAAAGCATTTAGAACCATGCTCAGTATATAGTAAGCACTTCATCTGTGTTTGTTAAAAAAAAAAAAAGAGCAAGCAAGAATTTGTTGAATGAACAAATGAATGAATAAATGAAAGAATGAATGTAGCCTAACAGACCTGGGTTGAAGTCCCAGGACTGCCATGTGTATGCTATGTGGCCTGAACCCTTGATACGCACAGTATAGTCTATGGTCCAGCAGCTCCCTTGGAAGCAGACTCTCAGGCCACAGCCCAGACCTACCGAGGCAGAATCTGCATTCTAGCAAGATTCCCAGGTGACACGTGTGCACGTTGAAGTGGGAGCTAGCAGCCTTCGTGTCCGGCACTGCTCCTTCCTAACAGTTCCCTTCGCTTTCCGTCTCTGCAATGGAAGGGAGAGTTAGATCTTTGGATTGTTCTGGGGCCACACTTCCAGGTGGAAAAGCTTTGATCTGCATAAACTGAGATGACCAGAAGCCTTCCCCCATCACCTTGCCTTGCTTTGACATCCTCCCGATAGAGGTTTCAAAGGGCTTTCAGGTGGTTTGCACCAGACACAGACCTGAGCAGGGGGCACGGTCTGCTCTCTGTGAGAGTCTGTCTCACGTGGTCAATAGAGTCAGCTGTTCTCAGGGTGGAAAGGCTGGGAGTGACGGCAGCTGACCCTCTGGTGCATTGGCCTCTTCACTGGTCCTTGAGTCTTCGGTCTTGACACCCCCAATGCATTCTCTGCACTGACCCCAGAGTCAACCTCTGCAGCAAATCTGGCTGCCGACTCTGCTCTTCATCTCCCTTCAGTGGCTCCCATTGCCCTTGGGATCATGTTCACTTGGCCCCCCAGCTCCTTGCCGGCCTTACTTTAACGCACCTGCAGAGCTCCTCTCCCTCCGCGGCCTCACTGGGACCTTTCAGGCTGGCCACATGAAATCATTTGCTATGCTCTTTCCGGGGTGTGGCCCTCCAAGGAAGGATGGGATTTGAAGAGCAAGGAGGCAGGGAGGTGTCCTAGGCTGGGCAAAGCTGTAGGGAGGTGTGGGGTTGGAATATGGTGGATGTGTCCAGAGCTCTGCACTTTTGGAGGTGCAGTCCTTACTGCCTGGAACACCCTTCCTTCTCCACTTTTGACTGACAAGGTTAGCCATGTCCTTAAGATCTTGCCCTGTTACAATCACCTCTCTGAAGCCTTTCTTAATCCATCCAGGTAGAAGTTAAGGTTCCTCCTTCCATGGACCAGGAGCATTTTGTAAACAGATCAACACCACCTAATGCTTGGCAGAGTTATTGTTTATTGACGTGTGGCTGTTTACCCACCTAGACCACTGAGGCAGAGACTATATCCCCAGTTTCTAGCCTGGTCCATTTATATCATGGTTGCTCAGTAAATATTTGCTGATATAATGAATTACTACATCACCTTTTCTTATATACAATAATCTAATATGCCCCAGTAGATAGGGGTTGACTGGACAACTGGAATATCTAAGAGGTCAAGGTCTAAGGATTCATATGGACCAACATTATTACATGACAGATAAGTGAATGGGCCTCAAGATGCTAAGCAGCTTAACCACTGTCACACAGGGAATTAAAACTACAACTTGAACTTGACTCTGCTCTCAGGATTTTTCTCTTTCCTTTTCAATGTTTTAATATATTTTTTAAAAGTAACGTATATGCATGGTTTAAAAAAATTAAATACGTGTGTACAGGAAATTAAATTCTCACTCCTTTCCTTGATCCTCAGTTCCTCAGTTTCCTTCCTTTTTTTTTCTTTTAATGCTGCATGAATTTGCATGTCATCCTCTGCAGGGGCCATGCTAATCTTCCCTGTATCATTCCAATGTTAGTATGTGTGCTGCCGAATCTGGCACCCCGGTTCCCTCTTATAAGTAGTTCATTGCTATTGTTAATATATGCATACATTTACATATATATACATATTTCTGCAGACATTCTGAGTGTATTTCATACATTCACCACCTTTTACTTATACTAACTGTAACAAAACATAGACCAGGATTTTTCAAGTTATGGATCATGATGCATAGGTTGCAATTAATGGGTTAATATGTTGTAAAATCTATTGATTTGGTCACTATCCATGATCTTGTTTCTTTGTTTCTTTGTCTTGTTTTGTTGTAATGAAAAAGAATGGAATGGAATGGAACAGATCATAGTACATCTCACACAGAAAGATCAAATAGTATTTCAATAAAACTTCTGTTTCTGTTTTTTTAAATTAAGCTTATTGATGCATAATTTACATATAATAAAAATTTACCCTTTTTAAGTGTAAAAAGAGTATATGTAAAATATAAAGGCAAAAAAAT